TGTGCCACCTCTACACAGTGGGCCACTGTGCCACCTCTACACAGTGGGCCACTGTGCCACCTCTTCACAGTGGGCCACTGTGCCACCTCTACACAGTGGGCCACTGTGCCACCTCTTCACAGTGGGCCACTGTGCCACCTCTACACAGTGGGCCCCTGTGCATCTCTACACAGTGGGCCCCTGTGCATCTCTACACAGTGGGCCACTGTGCCACATCTATACAGTGGGCCACTAAACCACCTCTACACAGTGGGCCCCCTGTGCATCCCTACACAGTGGGCCACTGTGCCACCTCTACACAGTGGGCCCCCTGTGCATCCCTACACAGTGGGCCCCTGTGCATCCCTACACAGTGGACCCCTGTGCATCTCTACACAGTGGACCACTGTGCCACCTCTTCACAGTGGGCCACTGTGCCACCTCTACACAGTGGGCCACTGTGCATCCCTACACAGTGGACCCCTGTGCATCTCTACACAGTGGACCCCTGTGCATCCCTACACAGTGGGCCCCTGTGCCACCTCTTCACAGTGGGCCACTGTGCCACCTCTACACAGTGGGCCCCTGTGCATCCTTACACAGTGGACCCCTGTGCATCCCTACACAGTGGACCCCTGTGCATCCCTACACAGTGGGCCCCTGTGCATCCCTACACAGTGGGCCCCTGTGCATCCCTACACAGTGGGCCCCTGTGCATCCCTACACAGTGGGCCACTGTGCCACCTCTACACAGTGGGCCACTGTGCAACCTCTACACAGTGGGCCCCTGTGCATCCCTACACAGTGGGCCCCTGTGCATCCCTACACAGTGGACCCCTGTGCATCCCTACACAGTGGGCCCCCTGTGCATCTCTACACAGTGGACCCCTGTGCATCTCTACACAGTGGGCCCCTGTGCATCCCTACACAGTGGACCCCTGTGCATCCCTACAAAGTGGGCCCCTGTGTATCCCTACACAGTGGGCCCCCTGTGCATCTCTACACAGTGGGCCCCTGTGCATCTCTACACAGTGGGCCACTGTGCATCTCTACACAGTGGGCCCCTGTGCACCTCTACACAGTGGCCCCCTGTGCCACCTCTACACAGTGGGCCACTGTGCACCTCTACACAGTGGGCCACTGTGCACCTCTACACAGTGGCCCCCTGTGCCACCTCTACACAGTGGGCCCCTGTGCATCTCTACACAGTGGGCCACTGTGCATCTCTACACTGTGGGCCACTGTGCCACATCTACACAGTGGGCCACTGTGCACTCAGCAACAGAAGGTGAGAACTGTGCTTTTAACATAAGCTCAAAACATAATTACATCACAGATATTACATAAGGTTTACTACATAGTAAACCTTGGCTTGAGGACAATTACATTAACAAGTGTTTCGGTATTCAGGAAATGGCGACCTAGCACATCATAACTAAGGGGTCGAAAATCAGCATGTATGGAAATTCTTTGATATTCGTGAAAATTCTTGTAGTGTATTCGACACTGAAGTTTTGACAAAGATGGTTGATACTGTCACCTAATTACCCTCCTCAAGTCAGGTAGGACTTGTTCAGAGCAGACATCGTCAGTTTCATGTCAGTCAAGCGTTCAGTTTATTGTTCAGTATGTAATACTAGCCACTGTTATATTTTCTGGTGTAAGAGGATCGTGTGTGTGATCATTTGTAGCATTGTACCTCCATGGCAATGATACCAAGTTTAGCAACAGGCTGGTACTTTGGTGAGGTGACGCCACCTCCACCAAACACACTGTGTTTGTATGCCTTGTACAGTCCCGGGGGACAGTACAAGGCATTATCATGAGGAAGACCACGGTTTACCCGCAGTCAAAATAGGCTCCTCGCTTCTTGTGTTCTCTCCTAGTGGAATTGGTATGGTATTACAATGAGTGGTGATAATTGGTAATATATGCTGTGTTGCCTTTACTTGTATTACTTTTTTGCATCTGTGTCCGAGTCATTCAGTTGAAACAAGTGTTAGACTTTTCGTTTGTTTTAAGTGTTTTCAAATCAAATGTAAACAGGCAGTGGTATTACAGGTGTTAAAGAATTGTTTTCATTTAATTAATTAACTTGAATTTTTGTAATTAGTTTTTTTACTTCCCTCCTGTTCCCCATATTAACATTGTAAACTTTATGCGTTTTTGTATGTTGTGTGAGCCTAACATGAGGCTCTGGGACGCCTACACGCTAGGCAGTCTATCGCAACATGACACACATATTGTGTCTAAAAGACAACGGGAAGGTCTGTAGGGACAACTGAGTATCAAGAAAGAGACAAACAAGAGCGTGGTAAACAAGAGCGTGGTAAACAAGAGCGTGGTAAACAAGAGCGTGGTAAACAAGAGCGTGGTAAACAAGAGCGTGGTAAACAAGAGCGTGGTAAACAAGAGCGTGGTAAACAAGAGCGTGGTAAACAAGAGCGTGGTAAACAAGAGCGTGGTAAACAAGAGCGTGGGAAACAAGAGCTTGATAAACATGAGCTTCATAAGAAAGATCTTTGTAAACGTCATGAGACTTCTAGCGGCTGGTTGGCGATAATCAGAAATAACTAGCCAGGAACGCCCTGACGAGATGATGACAGGGTGTCCCCAGCCCGCGAGGGTGTCCCCGGCCAGCGAGGGTGTCCCCGGCCCGCGAGGGTGTCCCCGGCCAGCGAGGGTGTCCCCGGCCAGCGAGGGTGTCCTCTGCCAGCGAGGGTGTCCTCTGCCAGCGAGGGTGTCCCCGGCCAGCGAGGGTGTCCTCTGCCAGCGAGGGTGTCCCCAGCCCGCGAGGGTATCCCCGGCCAGCGAGGGTGTCCCCGGCCCGCGAGGGTGTCCCCAGCCCGCGAGGGTGTCCCCGGCCAGCGAGGGTGTCCCCGGCCAGCGAGGGTGTCCTCTGCCAGCGAGGGTGTCCCCAGCCCGCGAGGGTGTCCCCGGCCAGCGAGGGTGTCCTCTGCCAGCGAGGGTGTCCCCAGCCCGCGAGGGTGTCCCCGGCTAGCGAGGGTGTCCCCAGCCAGCGCGGGGGTCCCCGGCTAGCGAGGGTGTCCCCAGCCAGCGAGGGGGTCCCCGGCTAGCGAGAGTGTCTCTGGCTAGCGAGGGTGTCCCCGACCAGCGAGAGTGTCCGCGGCCAGCGAGGGTGTCCCCGGCCAGCGAGGGTATCCCCAGCCCGCGAGGGTGTCCCCGGCCAGCGAGGGTGTCCCCAGCCAGCGAGGGGGTCCCCGGCTAGCGAGAGTGTCTCTGGCTAGCGAGGGGGTCCCCGACCAGCGAGAATGTCCGCGGCCAGCGAGGGTGTCCCCGGCCAGCGAGGGTATCCCCAGCCCGCGAAGGTGTCCCCGGCTAGCGAGGGTGTCCCCAGCCAGCGAGGGTGTCCCCGGCTAGCGAGGGTGTCCCCAGCCAGCGAGGGGGTCCCCGGCTAGCGAGAGTGTCTCTGGCTAGCGAGGGTGTCCCCGACCCGCGAGAGTGTCCGCGGCCAGCGAGGGTGTCCCCGGCCAGCGAGGGTGTCCCCGGCCAGGAAGGGTGTCCCCAGCCAGCAAGGATGTCCCCGTGAAGCAAGAGTATCCCCAGCCAGAGAGGGTGTTCCCGGCCAGTGAGTGTCCCCGACCAGCGAGGGTGTCACCAGCCAGCGAGGGTGTCCCCTAGCCAGCGAGGGTGTCCTCGTCCAGCGAGGGTGTCCCCGGCCAGCGAGGGTGTCCCCAGCCAGCGAGGGTGTCCCCAGCCAGCGAGGGTGTCCCCGACCAGCGAGGGTGTCACCAGCCAGCGAGGGTGTCCCCCTAGCCAGCGAGGGTGTCCCCGTCCAGCGAGGGTGTCCCCGGCCAGCGAGGGTGTCCCCAGCCAGCGAGGGTGTCCCCAGCCAGCGAGGGTGTCCCCGACCAGCGAGGGTGTCACCAGCCAGCGAGGGTGTCCCCTAGCCAGCGAGGGTGTCCCCGTCCAGCGAGGGTGTCCCCGGCCAGCGAGGGTGTCCCCAGCCAGCGAGAGTGTCCCCGGCCAGCAAGGGTGTCCCCAGCCAGCGAGGGTGTCCCCAGCCAGCGAGGGTATCCCCAGCCAGCGAGGGTGCCCCCGGCCCGCGAGGGTGTCCCCGGCCAGCTAGGGTGTCCCCGGCCAGCGAGGGTGTCCCCTGCAAGCGAGGGTGTCCCCGTCCAGCGAGGGTGTCCCCGACCAGCGAGTGTCCGCGGCCAACGAGGGTGTCCCCGGCTAAATAGGGGTGTCCATGGCCAGAGACGGTGTCCCCTGCCAGATAGGGTGTCCCCGGCCAGCGAGGGTGTCCCCGACCAGCGAGGGTGTCACCAGCCACCGAGGGTGTCCCTACCCAGCGAGGGTGTCCCCATCCAGCAAGGGTGTCCCCGGTTATGGAGGGTGTCCCAGGCCTGCGAGGGTGTCCCCGACCAGCGAGTGTCAGCGGCCAACGAGGGTGTCCCCGGCTAAATAGGGGTGTCCCTGGCCAGAGAGGGTGTCCCCTGCCAGATAGGGTGTCCCCGGCTAGATAGGGTGTCCCTGGCCAAAGAGGGTGTCCCCGGCCAGCGTGGGTGTCCCCGGCCAGCGAGGGGGGTCCCCGGCCAGCGTGGGTATCCCCGGCCAGCGAGGGTGTCCCCGGCCAGCGAGGGTATCCCCGGCCAGCAAGGGTGTTCCCGGCCAGCGAGGGTGTACCCGGCCAGCGAGGGTGTCCGCAGCCAGCGAGGGTGTACCCGGCCAGCGAGGGTGTACCCGGCCAGCAAGGGTGTTCCCGGCCAGCGAGGGTGTACCCGGCCAGCGAGGGTGTCCGCAGCCAGCGAGGGTGTACCCGGCCAGCGAGGGTATCCCCGGCCAGCAAGGGTGTTCCCGGCCAGCGAGGGTGTACCCGGCCAGCGAGGGTGTCCGCAGCCAGCGAGGGTGTACCCGGCCAGTGAGGGTGTCCGCAGCCAGCGAGGGTGTACCCGGCCAGCGAGGGTATCCCCGGCCAGCAAGGGTGTTCCCGGCCAGCGAGGGTGTACCCGGCCAGCGAGGGTGTCCGCAGCCAGCGAGGGTGTACCCGGCCAGCGAGGATGTACCCGGCCAGCGAGGGTGTCCCCGGCCAGCGAGGGTGTACCCGGCCAGCGAGGGTGTCCCCGGCCAGCGAGGGTGTCCCCGGCCAGCGAGGGTGTCCCCGGCCAGCGAGGGTGTCCCCTAGCCAGCGAGGGTGTCCTCGTCCAGCGAGGGTGTCCCCGGCCAGCGAGGGTGTCCCCAGCCAGCGAGGGTGTCCCCCGCCAGCGAGGGTGTCCCCGACCAGCGAGGGTGTCACCAGCCAGCGAGGGTGTCCCCCTAGCCAGCGAGGGTGTCCCCGTCCAGCGAGGGTGTCCCCGGCCAGCGAGGGTGTCCCCAGCCAGCGAGGGTGTCCCCAGCCAGCGAGGGTGTCCCCGTCCAGCGAGGGTGTCACCAGCCAGCGAGGGTGTCCCCTAGCCAGCGAGGGTGTCCCCGTCCAGCGAGGGTGTCCCCGGCCAGCGAGGGTGTCCCCAGCCAGCGAGAGTGTCCCCGGCCAGCAAGGGTGTCCCCAGCCAGCGAGGGTGTCCCCAGCCAGCGAGGGTATCCCCGGCCAGCGAGGGTGCCCCCGGCCCGCGAGGGTGTCCCCGGCCAGCTAGGGTGTCCCCGGCCAGCGAGGGTGTCCCCTGCAAGCGAGGGTGTCCCCGTCCAGCGAGGGTGTCCCCGACCAGCGAGTGTCCGCGGCCAACGAGGGTGTCCCCGGCTAAATAGGGGTGTCCATGGCCAGAGACGGTGTCCCCTGCCAGATAGGGTGTCCCCGGCCAGCGAGGGTGTCCCCGACCAGCGAGGGTGTCACCAGCCACCGAGGGTGTCCCTACCCAGCGAGGGTGTCCCCGTCCAGCAAGGGTGTCCCCGGTTATGGAGGGTGTCCCCGGCCTGCGAGGGTGTCCCCGACCAGCGAGTGTCAGCGGCCAACGAGGGTGTCCCCGGCTAAATAGGGGTGTCCCTGGCCAGAGAGGGTGTCCCCTGCCAGATAGGGTGTCCCCGGCTAGATAGGGTGTCCCTGGCCAAAGAGGGTGTCCCCGGCCAGCGTGGGTGTCCCCGGCCAGCGAGGGGGGTCCCCGGCCAGCGTGGGTATCCCCGGCCAGCGAGGGTGTACCCGGCCAGCGAGGGTGTCCCCGGCCAGCGAGGGTGTCCCCGGCCAGCGAGGGTGTCCCCGGCCAGCGAGGGTGTACCCTGCCAGCGAGGGTGTCCCCGGCCTGCGAGGGGGTCCCCGGCCAGCGTGGGTGTTACTGGAAGTAGGATAGGATATATATATAGCAACATGTTACAGCGAGCGTGCGAGGAAAGCCACAGCAGGTAGGGGCTGGTAAGTGTCATTAGGGTGTCACAGGGCCAGGGGTCCTCAGGGGGCCCTCAGGGGGCCCTCAGTGGGCCCTCCAGGGGGGCCCTGAGGGTCATAGCACGCAACTAGGGCGTGGTAGAAATGACATTATGAGAGTGTGTTATTATGGGCGTCGAGGGTGTGGCTAGAGGGTGTGTCTGGAGGGTGTGGCTGTGGTGTTTCTTGGTGAGTGTACCATAAGTCATTGGCAATCTTATGTGTTACTTTTAGAAAGGAGATAATGCAGAGGGATAGTGTAAATGCACTAGGACATTACTATTGTAAATTACGTGTTAGCTATTTGATACATATGCCAGAGTATACTGACCTTGCTTTTATTTCACCGCACTTTTATTCATGTGCAATTGATGTTCTCAGGCGGATTTGTAATATTGAAGGTTTTTTAATGATGAACAGTAAACAAGTGTATGATGTTATACTACCAAATATAGTTCCTAGAGTAGAGGAGGCATATCCACTCTTTAGCTGGCAAGTAATATGGGCAAACCTTCATGTTAAATTTATTGCCCCAAAACAACGTGAGCTGTTGTATCGCTATATTCATGAGACCCTCCCTACTAATGATAGGTTGGTGATGTTGGGCATTAAGGACAACAATAGGTGTGACCAATGTACTGAAATTGAGAATAATATGCATATATTTTATTTCTGTAAGCAGAAAGTTGTTCTTGTAAACTGGATTAGAGACACTCTTAAAGATTTATGTGGACCAAGTATTAGAGTGGAGTTAATGAGGTTTTTAATGTTTCATATTGACGTAAAATGCAAGAAAATTAGGAATACAATAATTATGTTACTTTCTGATTACATTTTTTGTGTGTGGATAGGCAGGCAGGAAGGTTACTCAGTAGACAAAATATTGAAGTTCTTGCGAGGCAGGATCAGGTATAACATTTGGGGTTTAAGGCTCATGCTCGGTGATGATATAGAAAATTGGTTTACTGAGGCTTATATAAAATATATATAAATGTAATATTTTCCCCTGTATTTTAATGTAAGTTTATTCTTCAATTTTTGTAACTCGTTTATAGGGGTTTTCTAAAAGATCTTGTTCTGTACTACTGAAACACTTGTTCACTAAGAATTGTAATGTATAATTGCCTTGTAACACTTATGTATATGTAACTTATATTGTATTTTTTTAAATAAAGATAAAAAAAAAAGTGTAGCAGTTTGGTATAGATTGAGAGCCGTAGCAGTGGGATGTGGCTGGAGGGATCTGGCAGTGGGTCATGGCTTGTAGTGTGTTGCATAAGTGTGGGGCCATGTGGGTGTGGCGATGAGGTGTGGCTGAGGGTGTGTGGCAAGATGGGTATTAAAGTGACGTCCAACTGAAGGGGCGGGCAATCAGGTTGGTTCAGTGGATGTGGCAGTAGTTAGCTTATGAGTGTGGCTGTGGTTTGTTTGTGTGTGTGGCTGTGGTTTGTTTATGGATGAGTGTGGCTGTGGTTTGTTTATGGATGAGTGTGGCAGTGGTTTGTTTATGGATGAGTGTGGCAGTGGTTTGTTTATGGATGAGTGTGGCAGTGGTTTGTATATGGATGAGTGTGGCTGTGGTTTGTTTATGGATGAGTGTGGCAGTGGTTTGTTTATGGATGAGTGTGGCTGTGGTTTGTTTATGGATGAGTGTGGCAGTAGTTTGTTTATGGATGAGTGTGGCAGTGGTTTGTTTATGGATGAGTGTGGCAGTGGTTTGTATATGGATGAGTGTGGCTGTGGTTTGTTTATGAATGAGTGTGGCAGTGGTTTGTTTATGGATGAGTGTGGCAGTGGTTTGTATATGGATGAGTGTGGCAGTGGTTTGTTTATGAATGAGTGTGGCAGTGGTTTGTTTATGGATGAGTGTGGCAGTGGTTTGTTTATGGATGAGTGTGGCTGTGGTTTGTTTATGGATGAGTGTGGCTGTGGTTTGTTTATGGATGAGTGTGGCTGTGGTTTGTTTATGGATGAGTGTGGCAGTGGTTTGTTTATGGATGAGTGTGGCTGTGGTTTGTTTATGGATGAGTGTGGCTGTGGTTTGTTTATGGATGAGTGTGGCTGTGGTTTGTTTATGGATGAGTGTGGCAGTGGTTTGTTTATATATGAGTGTGGCAGTGGTTTGTTTATATATGAGTGTGGCAGTGGTTTGTTTATGGATGAGTGTGGCTGTGGTTTGTTTATATATGAGTGTGGCAGTGGTTTGTTTATGGATGAGTGTGGCAGTGGTTTGTTTATGGATGAGTGTGGCTGTGGTTTGTTTATGGATGGGTGTGGAAGTGAGGTGTGGCAGTGAGGTGTGATCGGATGGGTGTTGCTGTTAGGTGGGGTTGGGGAGCTGGGAGTAACTTTTCACTGTATGAGATTGACGGTGGAGTGTAGCTGTGGGTGGGATGTGGCTGGATTGTTATGAAAGTATGATGTGGCTGCAAAGGTGAAAGAGACGGGTGTGGATGAACGACCATATCATTGAGAATGTCTCAGTGGTGTTACTGGATGGGTGTGACCGTGAGGTGTGGCGGGAGGGGTGTAACAGCTGGGTGTAGCTGGTGGGATGTGGCAGGAAGGGTGTGACCACCACCAGCCTCCATGAAACCATGAAATTTGTGGTGTGGTCCTTCGCTGTGTGTTCGCAACACCACGTCAAGAATATGCAAGAATATATAACCTCAGCGTATTTCAAAAAACTGGGGCATGGCAATGTTGGGGTCGTAGAATCGAGCCCACCTCAAAATTGAAGTGAATTTTCTCTTTAATATATAAACTCTTAGAGCAGCAAATTGATGAAGAACATTCTGGAGAGGTTTTCACTGTCAAAATATTTAATAGCAATTATGAAAACTGTTCGAGTCATTTATCTTCTTGAATCGTCAACTAAGCCTGGCTTTAGCTTCCTGTTGTTAAGTCACTCTTACCTCTTCAACTCCTTCTGTGAATCCTTTGGTTTGAGAAATGTGCTAGTTGGGAGTCCTCCCTTCACTGATGGTCCCACAGCAATGCTGTTTCCTCTCACAGATGGCGGGTGTCTGTTAATACTAGAAAATTAAGGAAATGCTGCATAATTCCACAGCCATCTTGAGGACATCCTACACCAGTGTGTTCCCCGTGACGCCTGCCGACTCTGCCCACTCAAGCCCACTGCTCTCTTGTACCTGGGTTGTTCCTTAACATGGGGTTCTGGGAGTTATTATACTCCAGCAGTCAGGTTAGACTCCGACCCGGGGTCAAACCTTGCCTTGGGGCCGGAATGTATAAGCAAAGCAGCTTATAAACTCATCCTGTACTCAGCGGAAGCTTTTGAGAGTGTTAAAGCTTGTTTTACTTCGTCTTATTCTATTTAAAAGCGTTTAAGGTGACGTTAAGCTTTGTCTCATGGGACAACTGAGCGGATTGTCCGCATAACAATGTTACTGGACGATCATAGAGTGTTGTCTCTGGACACTTGCTGTTATAGGCTCCCTATGTTTGTGTCTCTGGACACTTGCTGTTATAGGCTCCCTATGTTTGTGTCTCTGGACACTTGCTGTTATAGGCTCCCTATGTTTGTGTCTCTGGACACTTGCTGTTATAGTTTCTCTATGTGTGTGTCTTTGGGCACTTGCTGTTATAGCCTCGCAATGTGTGTGCCTCTGGACACTTGCTGTTATAGCCTCCCTATGTGTGTGTCTCTGGACACTTGCTGTTATAGCCTCCCTATGTGTGTGTCTCTCTGGACACTTGCTGTTATAGCATCTCTATGCATGTGTCTGGACACAAGCTGTTATTGCCTCCCTATGTGTGTGTCTCTCTGGACACTTGCTGTTATAGCCTCCCTATACATATCTCTGGACACTTGTTGTTGTTGTTGTTTTAGATTCAGCTACTCGGAACAAAAGGTTCCAGTAGCACGGGCTATGTTGAGCCCGTAAGTGGAGGCTCTTTGGAGCCTTTATCTGTATCAATAGCTGATACTAGAGATCTGTCGATGGATGTGAGTCTTCAGTCCCGGAGGGCTGGCTGTACCAGATATGGAGCTGGTGGGGTTGGTGTAGACCTCTAGGTCTTCCGTTTTTTCTTTGCCTGAGACATTGGCTGAGCTGTGCTGTCATTGGAGTTTGGTGTGTTGGCCTCCAAGAGAAGGTCTTGTACCGAGTAGGTGTCGTATTTGTGGTGCTACGGTGGAGCTCCTACTAAGATTTCCTCGACTGAAGAACCCGTAACCTCCGTAGTTGATGTTTTCGTCTTTCGCCTCGCAGCCTGAGGTAAGCTCAGGTGTCGTGGATTGGTGGTAGAAGCTAT